CCCTGGCCGTGTCCAGCAAGAGCAGCGTGAGTAAATCAGGGCTCTGGGTTCGGGGGTCAAGGGTCAGGCGGGGATACAATCCACAGAGGCGATCCTCTGCAGTTGTGATTAGGGATTTTTTTGCCGTCAGTTTGATTGGTTTTATGTCATTGTGATGTCATTTATCAAACCGCTCTATACCATACGGTGTCGCGGGAAGCCGGCGCCTACCCAGCAAGCAACAGGCACAAGGCAGGGTACACCCTGGATGGGACGCCAGTCCATCGCAGGGTGAGTGCAAGCCAATCATACATGGGGACAGTTTGGAGGCCACGGTAAAGGCCAAGAGGGGAAATTTGAGCCGGACACTGGGATAACTCCCTACTTTTATCGGAAAAATGCCCGGGGATCTGTAATGACCACTGAGAGTCAAGACCTCAGTTTAACATCTCATCCGAAAGACGGTTGATTGTTTCTATTTCACCCAAAATCCTCCTTTTTCATTTCGCGAGACTTTTCTCAGAGAGAGGAGCAGGAACGCTAAACTCTAGTTTTTGCAGAAGCGCCTCTGATTATGCAAAACCAGTGGGACAAACAAACATCCTCGCGTCATCGGACTAGTGTGGGTTTTGCATGAGCCAGCAGCAGCCCTGATCTCGTGTGTGGCCCCGCTGGGGCCCTGCCCCGTTGCAGGGCAGTGCGCGGTGGGCTCTGGGGGCAACAGTGGACTCCTCCCCCTCTGTGTTGCTCGGCTGGCTGGTCCTCCTGCAGTTTTTACAAGCACAGTGAGCTTTCACACATCCCCAGACTTGTATGTGCTTATGGAAGGGTGCTTCACTGTGCTCTGTGCTTCCTTGCAATTTACTATGGTAAAACTCTGCTTAGCTTAGTTACCAGTGGACCAGAATAAATGTCCTTTTTCCCTCTGTCTGGTCTCCCCCCTAGGAACTGGGTGCGCAGGGCTGTGTGCGGTTCTTCCTCACTCAGAATGAAGTGATCTGTGTGCAGTAACAGCCAGCCAGGGAATCATTAATAGTCGAGGAGGAGTTTGTGTGACACTCGGACAGCTGCTTTCTGTTACTGTAGGAAAACAGGAGGAAAGGGTGCCGCAAGGCTGAGGAGGAGAATTACCTTCAGAATGTGCTGGGAGTCTCAAAGACCTCGAGCGAAAAGTCTCCAAGGCCTTCGGTGTTTTTTGGATCTAGATCAGTTCTGTCCTGCTCATCATTGTGCCACATGCTCTACCACAGGCTCAGGAAAGTTACTGCGGTTCACTAGACTAGACTTCCTGCCAGCACTGTGGGTTTAGCGTGAAATGAGGCAGTGGGTGGGATTTGAACCCAGGGCACCCATACCAACAGGCTAACTTGTGCCTGCTATTATTAAAATGCCACAGTAAAAGAGCAGAGTTCAGGAAAATCAAGGTAAGAGTTAAATTTTCTGGGGCATTGTTCTCCAAAGCCTGTGGGAACACAGGGGTGGTTGACTGTTGACTGTGCTATTTCAGTGCAGAAAGACATCGGATTTCTGATATCAGAGGCTTCTGCTCCAATCAGTCCCCTCACACCCCCTTCAGAAACAGGATGAGGCAGCTGTGAGACTGGTGTGAGAGAGAGAGACTTTATTATCTGCGGGGGGCAGCTGTGTTTCAGCAGCAGCGTTGGTGTCCAGACGGACAGAAGAAAAAAACCCCGACAGGAACACCGATATACAGACATATTTGCACAGAAGGTCAGGTGTTAAATAGTGATGTGGCTACAGGTATGAATGAGAACTTAAATCTGATGGTTTTGGAGCTGGGGAGTCGGTATGTGCATTCTGAGGGGAGTAACTGGAAATGATTGAACAGGGGGTGTGAAGGATCGTCACAGATGGATTGCGCCGCGTCTTCGTGAGCACAACAATGAGGAGAAGTCGCTGGTTCTGACTTCCACCTCCCTGCTATCTATCACTGATCCGTGAACAAAGAGCCATTGTGCATAGCTGCTGGCTCGTGAAACTCCCTCGGGCAAAACGCTGTGAAGCCTGTCTGAAGCAAAGCTTGCAGGTGCTTTACAAAGCAGAGAGAAGCAGGGCAAATATAGGGCTATGAAATATAGGGAAAGTGCCCGTTGCCCTTTGCCACCCCTGGCATTGCCTGTGGCTCATAGACACGCACAGGGTCTATCTGTCTGTTCGCAGAGCTGCCCTAGAGTCCAGGAGGTGTGGAGCACCGTTAGACTGAGGATGGATTGTAGCAGTCTCTGATGCTGGCACTGATAATAATGATAATGTTGCTTTATTGGCCCTATACAATTTCTTGCAATAGGAATTCATCATTTCACAGACCCCAGCTTGCTCTCCATGAGACACACAGACAGGGAGAGAAGCTGGGGGTCAGAGCGCAGGGTCAGACATTGTACAGCACCCCTGGAGCAGCTGGGGTGAAGGGCCTTGCTCAGGGGCCCAGCGGAGTAGGATTCCTCTGCCGGCTGCGGGATTTGAGCCGGCAACCTTCCAGTCACGGACACAGATCCTGAGCCACAGAGCCACCGCTCCCGCCCACTGGGAACATGGGTTTACAGCGGAGATTCTGAATGCCGGCCACTCTGTGGGCACTCATGTGCCGAGACATTTCAAAACTAAGCTTGACTCTGCAGCAGGATCGCCTGTGTGTAGGACAGCAGGAAGCTTCTTGCTGGTGTCTCTCAGTCAAGCTCTTCTCTCGTGCTCTGTTCTCACCCAGTCTGGGCAGTGCAGGCTGGCTGTACAGACCCCGGCAGGTCTCTGTAAAAGCCTCAGCTGACAAGTGTGCCTGGCACCCCCCTGTCCCCTGTCAGACGACAAGCCCGCTTCTGGAACGGAGGCGGGCAGCAGGGCGTGTGTCTTGTGATTCGTCTTGAAGGCTCTGTTCTGCTCCGTACACCAGTGCCCATCAGTGTTGTCTCATCTCAAGCCCCTAGGTCTTAAAAATATCGAACAGGAGAGTTACTCCAGGTGGATGCTGCACATTGGTAGTGGTGGAGGGGAGTCCCCATTACCTGTAAAGCGCTTTGAGTGGAGTGTCCAGAAAAGCGCTATATAAGTGTAAGCAATTATTATTATTATTATTGGAGTCCAGTACACTGCAAAGGAGCGCAAGAGTCATTATCCCCTCTTTAACCGTGGAGATCTGTTAAACCGCGTGCAGTTTTGACAGTTGCGTTACGTACAGAGCTGAGGAATTTCCCTGGTCCGGTGTCGAGGGCTATATTTGGTTTTGTTTTTCAGTTTGTCAAATTAAAATGGAAAAACAGCTCAGCGGGGCTTTTGGCAGCTGCGTTTTATTATCAGATAGTCGTTATTTCTGAAATCTGCTCTCCTGCCAGATGGCTTTCAGTGTGCACTCTGCTCAAGTGCTGGAGTTCGCGCATAACGCACAGGACAGCGAAGGAGAACAGTCCAGCAGGAATCGTCTTCAACGTCTTCAGCTCCTGGTGACTTTGGTGGCCTCACGGATCACCTCCAGCAGGTTTCTGAACTGGACGCTGGTCACTGGCCGGGGCGCTCTGTGGTCACTGCAGTGCCGTCTGGCCTGGATTCCTGGATTCCTGGGAGCTGAGCTGGTGGGCTCAGAGCCCCCTGCCAGTTATGGCCCCAGCCCTGGTTAATGAGTACCAGACAATGCAATAACGTGCGCGTTGCCATGGTATTGGGTTAATAAAGTCCTCTTTGGGAGTGACTTCATCCCTCTTTCTATCCATTGTTCTCCTGCGCTGCTACAGAAAAGGGGTCACAGGGAGGTCGTGGGGGGGGGGAGGGGTTCGGGAAAGAGCTTTGCTCAGTTCAGCTCGTTTAGAACTGGAGCCATCTTTCAGCAGACTCTGAGGCTCTCGGCCTTAGATCTGTTAGCTGTGGATCTAGGAGACAGAGCCCCGTATAATCCCCGCCACCACCACCACTGCAATGATTTATTCATTTAAAACAAATTCCAGGAGAGATTCAGCCAAAGGTTAGAGCCATGCAAATGTCACCTGCAGCTGGCTCCTTTCAGCTGTTCCCCCTGGCCAGCTGGTGTGCCCTTTCGCAGTGCTGCATGCCTGTTTACAAAGCAGAGCGCAGAGCAAGGGCCCACTCCCCAGGGCTGGAAGACACGGCATGCTTCCTGCACGTTTGGCTGGGAAACGTAATTAGAGATCTTGAGCCGAAATTAAAAGGCGGGAGCAAGTGATGAGCTCCGACAGCAGACGCCGAAAAAGCCCCAGCGGATAAGACCGTATCTCTGCAGATTCAGGTCTTACAGTTATCCGATCTCACGACTGCCATTTTGAAAGCCAGGGTTTGCCCAGTGCGGTCCGGCTGCAGGGTTGTGTAGGGGGGGGGCTGGCTGGGCAGGTGCTGTCGTTTTCGGGCTGTGGAGACCTCACTCTTCTGGGCGTCAGGGAGATTGCTTTCTTTGGTCAGCTGTGCCCAACGGGAGAGAGCCAGCAGGCAGGAGTGAGGGGCCTGTTGGTGCTCCTCTGCACCTCGAGCCCAGCCGGAGGGGCTGCTGGGGCGAGGGGCAGAGACCGGGGCGTCTGTGCGGAGACGCGCGTGCGCTGTAGGGGGGAGCCCCAGTGCTGGGTGATCCATCCAGGAACACCGGCTCCACCAGGCGTCTCCCCACTAATTACCCGAAGCCTGTGATTTAAATGCCGTGCAGCAGGAAGATCAGAGCTGTCTGCTGTTTGCTTTGCTCCCCCAGCGGAAAACATTTCAAAGGCGCCTCTTCCAGCGGAGCCTCTCAGCTGTTAAATTGAAGGCCTCCGGGACCCTTTGAAGACTCTTCTCCCCATCCCTGAGCAGGTGGTTCCTCTTTATTCTCCTTGCAGGGTAAAGTTACAGGCTGGAGAGACCCTGCAGAGGGTGGGGTGGGGGACTTTTCACCCCACGTCTGTCCTGGTCCAGCTCCCTGTGGTGCACTGGCTGCATGTGTGATCACTGGAATCTGCCTCCATTGCTTTGTGCCCAGCGCCGCCCTGGCAGTGCCATCGCGGCCAGCAGGGGGCGCTGGCAGACAGGAAGTGCTGCAGGGGACAGCGGGAATTCGGGTGTGACGAGAGCACTGCTCATCTGATGGTAGGAACCATGGAGACTCTTCCAGGGTGCAGCCGTGAGCTCCTGGCAGACTCTTGTAGAATTCCCAGCGTGATTTCGGCCCCCCCAGCAGGACAGTGCAAGTGTGCAGACCACCGAGCACGCACTGCACTCCCTGCATGTAGGGTGTGGGTGGGAACCTGGGTGTTTTCAGGCACACACAATAAATGCCATATCATATCTGTAGATAATAAACAAAAACTATACCCTGGGTGTTTTCAGGCACATACAATAAACGCAATATCATATCTGTAGATGATAAACAAATACTATAGTGTGCAACAGCAGTCTCTGAGATCCCAAGGCACTAAAAACAGGAAATACAAGGAATACACTGGTGATAAAGCTTGACATCTTCCGACTCCTTCTGTGAGGCCTCTCGGTGTTTGTGGGAGTGTGCTCTCGAACCACAGCCTTCCTGGGGCTCATCTGTGAGAATCAAGCAACAGCAGAGTCGCCGTGGCTCTGTGCCCGAGAGCCAGTGGAGATTAGAGAGCCTGGAAAATATGAATCCTGCCTTCGGTCAGAGTTATTTATATTCAAGCGGCAGGAAAGCTGCATGTGGCCGGCCAGGCACCCTGTCCGAGTACTTCTGTCCATCCCGATCCCATTCCCTTGGTGTCCCGGAATCCTGCAGGTCAGTAGGACCTGTTTCTTTTTCAGATGAGAAAATAAAGCCCTCGCTCCCTCATTAGGTCACATTTGTGCCCACAAACATATTTTCACACAACCTTGTGGCTGTTGCCTCGAGAGGTTTGACCAATAAGAAGTCTTTCTGTCCATTTTTCCACTTGGCACTGCGCTTGGCATTCAGGAGCCCTGCCACTTTGAAATCTAAGATAAGATGAGTTTTACTTTGTGTCTATTTAAAGGTTCCACATGGGAGATAAACTGCTAATAAAACACAGCCAGCTGCTAATTATCCTGAGAAAGTGCCTTCCAAGATGTTTTAAAGCTATGTACTGTGCTTGATGAGTGAGGTTTAAATGCCCCGATGAAGGACAACAGTTCTGAAAGACTGTTGCCCTGTGATTAAGAGGGGATTATTATTGCAATGCTCTTTTTGCAGGGCTATTTTTTCCAGATGTCAGCAGAGCCAAGCTCCAGTGAGTTCAGTGCTGTCAGGTCAGATTCTCACTGTGAGCTGGGGTCTGGCAGCACAGACCCAGGATTTGCACCTTCCATGGCTTCATGTAACTAACTTCACTATCCTGGCTGTCTGCTCCTGGGTTGCACTAGGCCTCAGATCAGGCTCTGTACTCTCCTGACTTCCTTTCCGTACAGTTTGGAGCATTTGAGGAAGCTCCCATTCTAGAGATTGCAGAAGTATCTGTATCAGATCACTGCAGAAAAACAGAACTAAGCCCTTCTCTTTTAAAGAGGATTTAAATCAGTTTGTAAACTAATCTTTTTGAAGACATGTGAAGCAATCATGTGCACAGGCAAGATGATCTGTTGCCTGCCTGCTTCCAGCATTTCTGCAGAATATCTGAGGGCAAACTCTGAAGATCCGCCCTCCTGCACTCCTAAAAACTGATGGATTTCTGAACATGTTTCCAGCGCTGAGAGTGAGCTGCCTCTGTCCGTCTCCCGGGCACCCCTGAGGCTCCCTGCTGGACTGAACAGCACTGGGAGAAACACAGGTGTGATGCTGTCAGTCCCTGGGGGTCTGGTGGTCTCTCTCAGGCTGAAGCAATGGTTGCAGAGTCTTAGCACGGTCAACTCTGGATGTGAAGCAGGCCTGGTTGCGCTGTGTTTTTGCAGAGCAAGGACAGAATTTCTTGTTTCTTGTCCCCTGTTGCTAATCTGAAGACACCGTCTGGAGCCTGAAGTTACTTTATTCTTTTCAAGCCTGGAGCAAAGGAGAGCATGTTGGGTTTGATGGGAGTTTGTCTGACAGAGGGACAGAGGCTGTGACCGAGACAGGTATTGATTTACCCTCCTGATAAAAAAGAAAAGATTCTATTGGAAAATATCTGGGAACATTCAGCTTAGGGGCAGCTGAAAGCTGCCTTTGTTCTGCACACAGGGCAGTGCAATGAAGAGAGCCAAGTCCTTCAAACAGCGTTTATCGCCCAGCTTTTATTGCAATCAAAGCACAGACATTGTACTACACACAAAAAAGTTGTAACTAATAATAATAAACAAAGTACAATGAAAAGACAATCTTGGAAAAATTAGTTTTCCAGAAGTCTGCAGACAAGGTGTTTCAACATCTTGCTATGAGAGTCTGCATGAATGCGTCACAAAACGTTTCTAAGACAAAAAGCCAAATGCTTTTTCTCCAGCCCTGCGCAGAGTGCGGTAACCTCTTCTCGACTTGTCACTCATGTGTGCTGTCAAGCGATTGCATGCACAGAGGAGAAGCAGAAGGAGACAGCTGGGCCTTGGCAGGACCTGTCGAGCCTTTTATCGTGTAATCAATCTGGTCTCGCAGCCCGAGAGCCAGCTGTTTCATACACATCTCCCCCCACATTCCTCAGCCAGTGATGTCACCTGGCTCCAGTCCCCCGCGGGCCAAGAGCTGATTATACAGCGGGATCAGGGATACATCTGCCTTTCACACGTGTGTGTGCTGTATAAACACAGCCACAAAAAAAGCCCTCTTTCCAGCCCTCCCTCTTGCCTCCAGTGGAGTTCTGATCAGATCTGTAGAATCGGAGGCCACCACAGAGTTGTTTCTTTGCATTCTTGAGCTGAGTGCTGCTCTGTCCTTGTCCTGGCCCTCCGGCTTGTTTTGAGCATTGTGGGGCATCATTCACAGTGGATTTGTGAAATGGAAGCATGGCACCATTTTCAGCACTGGAACAGATGACTCCCGAGGGAAGCCAGCCAGAGGGGCCGTACTGACATATCAGATCATAAACAGAACCAAAACAAACCTGTTCCGCATGTTAAACCGTTCGCAGGCTGCCAGCCAAACTCCCGGCACTTTCTGTCTGCCACACGCTTCCTGCGTCCTGCAGAATCCCCCCATCACAGGCAGGGGTGAGTGATTTTCAAATGGCAGGAGAGCCAAAATTCTCATCTAACCCCACCTTTAATCATGCTGTCGAAGAGGAACAGGTGCTGTGAGGTTGCCACGGAGACAGAGCCCATTAACAATAACAACCCACCTCTGGAGGGAAGGGATACTCTAACCACTGAGAGTCGCAGAGGTGTTTTCAAGAAATGGCACCGGGGAGCCAGACCTGTGCACAGCGCAGAGCATGGAGCAGCAGTCCTCACTGTGGCAGGGAGGGGATTTTATTAAGGCGAAGGTGGTTTTGCGTCTCATAGTCACCAACAGGAGGAAGGACGGGGGACAGAGGCCATGTTCACGTGATCCGAGAAGCTTTCTCTCAGTGAGAAAGGAAACAGCCCAGTGGACCTCAGCTCGCAGCTCCGTAGACCAGCGCCTAGACAGGACCCTAGTGGACTGGTGTCAGCGTTCTGAGCCCCTTTGCAAACCAGCACCTAGACTGGACACTAGTGGACTGGTGTCAGTGTACTGAGCCGCTCTGCAGGCCAGCGCCTAGGCTGGACACTAGTGGACTCTGCAGAGCTGGGAGTCCAACACTGGGCTCTAGGCATCAGCAGAAACACAACAGGAAGTTGAAGCCCTCTGTGCTTCAGTGTGTCATCAGGAAGGGGCAGATCAAGACAGGCAGCACACAAACGGCCTCACAGAATGTCGTGTTTTTCTCTCGAACATGCATCCTTAATATATATATGAGTTATTTACTAACGTGTAATTCATAATTAAATTACTGTTACCCTGTGTCATTAATTCTGTGGTCCTATAGGGTCTTCGGCTGCAGCAGAGTTCACTCTATCTCTCCTCGGGTATGGCTGAACAGGGCGTGAAACTGACCTGCCATCTCACCCCTTTCTGTTTTGCTGCAGAGCATCGACCGAGAGGAGCTCATTGATGTGGACGCAGCTGCAGCCATTGGCAGCAACGTGGTGGAGAATGGGCACCAGTCTGGCCCAGGTAACAACACAGGACCGTGACCTTGAGCTTGATTGCCGTATGTAACCGGTACATGTACTGGTACAATGGAATTCTTACTTACAGAAAGTCTCCCGATTGTTAAAAAAAGTGTAAAAACACAAAGTGTTGACAGTGCATCAAGACAATATACAAGCAAACAGGTAAACAGTCTGAATGTAAACAATGCAGACGTAAACAGTGACAGCAGATGTGCAATAAATATGTGGTCCGAGGGGCATGGCCAAATGTGTTCGCCAATCGCACAACTTGTGGGTAGAAGCTACTGAAGAATCTAGTGGTCAGTGTCCGTGTGCTCTTGTATCTCTTGCCTGAGGGCAGTGGGGTGAAGAGCTCATGCCCGGGGTGGTGACTGTCCTCTGTGATGGCCAGAATTCTACCACGGCAGCGGTCCTCATAGAGCTGTTTAATCTCGGTGAGACCACAGCCAATGATCTTCTGGGCCATATTGACCATTCTCTGCAGTGCCTTTCTCTCTCGAGAAGAGGTGTTGCCGTACCACACGGTGATCCCGTTGGTGAGGACGCTCTCGATGGTGCAGCGGTAGAAGTTCACCAACACAAGTACTGGCATCCCCCATCGCTTGAGTCACCTCAGGAAATGTTGAGCCTTCTTCACATGGAGAAAATCCTGTGCCCGGTCCTGGCGTTTAGTGTGCATCTAGCTGTGAAGTTAATCTTTGCCTCTCATTCTCTTCTCTCCCAACAGACAGCCCCTCTGTGCCGCAGGAAGTGAAGTCACCCCCTGAGCCCGCCCCTAGCTACGCAGCGCAAGAGCACACTGCCCCTGTGGCCTTGCGCATGCCACACCTCCCTATCACCGCGACAACCAAAACAGCAGATTCCTCTGTTGCCACAGTGACCAAAACTTTAGAGTCACCCACCACCCCGGTCAGAGAGAGAGCTCCGCCTCCTGCTGGCCCACAGCCTGAACCTGTCAGCCAATCGGCATCCAGCAGCAGCCAGTCCGTACCTGTGGCTGAATCTGCTCAGCAGTCAGGTGAGTGGGGTGAACGATCAGCCCATTCTTCACCTGTGCCTCGCAAAAAGCTTCACGTCTTGCCCAAGCCTGTGTTTTTAATGATCCAATTGTTGGATCAGGTTGGTTAAAGTAAAACCTAATGTTCCTGCTGGTTCTGTTTCAGTGGTAGAAACACACCACCTCAGCCCTTTGATGTTACACTTGTTAGAGCTGTGAGCTGTCACTCCCTCCCTCCCATCTTCGCCCTCTTTCCTCCCTTGTTGTCTCCTCTCCTCCCTGTCCCCCTCCTCCCTCCCTCTGCCAGTCTGTCCTAGCCCTCACCTCTCTCTCCCTGTGCGGTCTCTCGCCAGGCGTCTCCTGTCCAGTGAAGACGTGGAGCCCCAGCCCACTGAGGACAATGGGCTCCCCACGTGCCTCAGGTACCCCTCTCCCCAGAGCCCCTGCTGTCTGACACTGCCACCGTCCAGCTGCTGTCAACTCTACTACTGTCCAACCTGTCCACACTGCCACCGTCCAGCCACTGTCCACGCTGCCACTGTCCACTATACAATTTTCCACTGCCACTGTCCACACTGTCCACTCTACCATTGTCCACACTGTCCACTCTACCTCTGCCCATGGTGTCCACCCTTACCACACTGCCACTGTCCTCAACATCCACTGTACCACTGTCCACCCTGTCCAGACTGCCACTGTACACCCACACTGCCACTGTCCACACTGCCACCGTCCAGCCGCTATCCAGGCTGCTGCTGTCCACATTGTCCACACTGCCACCGTCCACCCTGTGCACACTTTCCACACTGCCATTGTCCTCACCCTCCACACTGCCACTGCCCACGTTGTCCACAATGCCACTGTTCATACTGCCCCTGTCCACCCACTGTCCACACCGTCCAGCCTTCAATACAGCCATCATCACCACAACTCAAAACACTGTCCAGACTTCCCTGCTTCCTGCAGCCCACAGCCCTGTGTCCCAGGGAGGAGAGCTTGGTCTCGGGGTGATTTCCGAACGACGCAGAGCAGCAGCTGTGCCTGCTCTCCTCTGTGGTCCTCGGTGAAGCAGAGCCCAGACTTTAAGTGTGCTCCTACATCCATTCGCGATTAGCCTCAGTGTTGCGGCGCTGTTCGTCTCAGCGATACCGCCTGCTGGCTTCCTCTCACACTGTCTTCCCCTCTTCAGACAAACCCGTCCCCCTGACAGCCAAGCAATCGCCAGCGGTCAGCAACGCTCCCAGCTCTGACAGGTGAGACCCCCAGTGCACCCCGGATCAGTAATGAGTGACATATCACTTCTAGTGCTGCTCGCTGTTGGTCCTTCCAGCATTGTTCAGATAGGCATGACATTCTCCGTGGAAATCAAAGGATTTTGAAAACACACTGGAGTGCTTTGTGTGGGATTAGTTCTATCGATTGGGAAATGTCTTTAATATCTAGACATTCTGTTCTACACCCGAGTCTAAACATGTGGAAATGCTCTCTTGCCGGAGTCAGACTCACCTGAGCCTTAAAGTATTTCCCCGAAGTAACAAGAGAGCCCATGGTCTGGAGATGTGTCCGACAGACAGCGTTATAGAAAAAGATCACGGTGTCTGTTTGGCAGGAGTGTGGATGGCTTCCCAGAATCCTCCCCGCTGCCCAGGGTGGGGGACCGGCGCCGGGAGCTGGTGAGGTCACAGACGCTGCCGCGCACGATGGGCGCTCAGACTCGCCGCGCTCCGTTTGAGAGGCTGGACTCCGACCCCAGCAGGTATCCCGCTGTGTCCGAAACACACTGAGCACAAGGCATCCCTGTCTCCTCTCCGCTCATTCTGCGGCTTGAAGTGTGTGGCTGCAGTGCTGTGTGGTGTTCAGTGTGTGTGACTGTAGAGCTGTGTGGTGTTCAGT